CCCAACAACGGGCTTCAAGGCTCATCTCGAATTGTTTCAGCGTGCGTATTTGGTATTTGGCCCGCGGCATTTATCCCGTATTGTCGGACATAAAGGCCACACATAAAAAATTAGATCCATTTTATTCTCTAACAAAAAAAAAAAAACAGAACGATGTTCAGTACGAACACTGGCGCATTTATGATGCGAACAGTTCTGCCGCCCTAAAGAATACATAACATCTCTCATAAATTGCAGCTTGTTTTTGGTTGAAAAATACCACCCCGTTATAGCTGAAGTTGCCATTTACCCTAGTCAGAAAAATGCTGCAACTTCAAGGCTTAAGTATGTCTAACTACAAATAAACACAATTAGCCATGTATCTGAAGTTAGAAACGCTATTTTTATCTGTTAGATAGTAGCATCCCTCGTAAGGGACGCATTGTTCATCTATAGCTAATTGTTAATAAGATTAATATATACTAAGTCTTCACTAGAACCTTGATCACGACCCGCCGACTCAGTTCCTGTAATCTAGACGTGTCGGGGTATTTGCAGCTGGACCAAAGCAGTGCGGGAAATTTTATCTCCACCCGTGTAATACTACCAAACAATTACAGTTTTTTGGCACGATGACAGATTTGCTTCGCATTGTTTGCCGCGTGTTGAATCGACGCTGGATGCCGTCTGCTGCTACTGCGTCAACTACATGCCATCCTCTTCGTTACGACTGCTTAGGATCTATAGCCAGACGGTGCATCATCATATTGTCACGACCAATAGACAAACTTTAGCAATTTTGTGTTCTGACCGTAATTCTTATAGCTATCCTTATCCGACACCGTCTTCTTCGTTGTTCGTTAAATCTGGGGACCTTCGTCGTCGTCGTCGTCGTCGTTCGCCCAGTATAGACGACTTTTACCTAGACGGGGGCCAAACGCGGTGGCTGTTCAAGTGTCGCTGATTGTCGAGGCGATGGCGAATAGAAATGTGTTTTTTTTTTTTTCGCTACTAGCCAGGGTTAACGTCTCCGACATGTCGATAACCGACAAATTTTAGCTGTAAGTCAACGCTATGTGGCCATACAGAAATGTCGGAGGTGAAGGAGTTGTCATTATACTTTTTGTCTGTTTTTGTTATTTATTGAAATACTGCGACGGTCGTATTATAGGCATGTTGTACTCTACGCAGGGCTATATAGAAGCGAGTCGAATACCACGTTTGTCACTGCTGGTATAAACATCAGTGGATGCTTATGTGTATCGTATATACGCATGTGTAAATTATATGGTTACAAATTTAGTGCGGATTCGACTGTCTAATAAAAGGTCCGATTTTATAATTGCACAATAGAAAAGTGTTTTTTTTTTCTTCTGCAAAACTGTTCTCGATTTTAACGATTTGCTATTTATGTGCTTGTTACCCAGTTACATGTCACTTTACAATTGAGCCTATTTCAACATTTCCACAAGATATTTCCGCGTGTGGTATATTCTGACAGGAGATAGGCTTTCACGCAGATGTTCGTGTGCTGGAACAATGAAATTGCCACGTGTGTTTACTTAGCCACCTACACACTTATTCAAACTTGCTCGTACGTCGTCCGAAGGGTTCAATTCCCTTCGATACCTTTTCTTTATTAAATTGTATTGCACTGTGCATTTTTATGCAAACGATATATTATATTACAACAACATCTTCCCGGCCTCCGCCTATCTTCCACCCTCCAGGCCTGTTAGTCCCTACTATCTGTGTATGTGTATAGCGGAGACATTGTTATTTCCAATTTATGATTACTGAATGGCCGTAAAGCCCAAAGTCGACTCAATATAGCAGGGTTGAGCAACTGCAGAAGCTGCTAGCTGCCATAGGGGGAGTTAGACGGGGGTTCTGTGTCTGCTAGAGAAACCGTGAACTGAAATAGTGAACATACGCATGGTGATGCTTTCTAAAAAGGACACGGAACAGCGTAAAATAACGAGTCTAGCAACGATTTACTAACCATCGCACAACAGGTCACCTCGGGATATAACTATGGCCGAAATCGCCAACTCCCCTCAGATACCCCGGAAAGCCACTTTGTAGAAGATAGTTCAGGAAGTGTAGCAGTTCGACTGAGGAAGTTCGATGGTCCAATTGAAAATCTAGACCTGTTCAAGATAGCTGGCAGTCAGCACGCGCGACCTTCAACGCTTGCTCCTCACCTACGCTATCACCGCTGTTTTTACCTCGAGTGCAATCCCCAAAACCGTGCTGGCACGTAAACGGTCACCTACCTTGCTTGAGAATGTCCGCGAATAGAGGCAGAATTTCATATATAGTGTTGCTAAGGGCAGCATGTGCTTTATGCCCACTACGATTCACATCGCCGTCGTTTTCTCCTGCCTCGTTCACATAGTACATCGCTCTGCTGTTCGACAATGTAAATACATATGGGCACATTTGTGAATATAGGAGACATTGCGTACGGCGCTTTGCATGAGAACGTAAGCTCGAGGGCTCAGTGGCGAGACGGGGGCGAGGAGAACCAACGAGGCAATGTAGCATAGCATCGAGTTGTAGAAGAAGAGTTTGCCATGGCTGGTGGCACACATAGCAAACAGAATGCAAAGCAATAATGAGCAGACTTGTACGAATGTCCGTTGTCAGCTAAAATTGAGATCATTCAATGAAAATAGGCGTATGTAACTCTGGATGTGTATGTTATTGCTGATCGGTGTTGTCGTAGACGCCACTGAATAGATCAGTTAGCAGGGATTGCTACAGCTGAGGTTACATCTATGTATTTTGACAACATACAGGTAGGACCACAGATAGCTGGGGTACGCTAACATGTCTGTGACACGTTTTATATTGACCAATCCCTAAAAGCAAATATTGTCGGTGTTTTTTGAACCTAACAACATCCTCATATTAGTGACAAATCATCAAGGTTGAACATTACGATTCTGTAATAGAGTAGTAGGTAGGATTGTTCGGGTGTTGTCACAGGTTGCAGTATGTAAATTCCCTCCCTTTTTCATGCATAGACGATGTTATTTTGGGGACGTTAAGAACCTACGTGTAATCATCATATATCGCGGTGTAAAAAAAATCATTGTACACTTCGAGGAAGCAAGATGTCAACAGGATACTACGACACAGGATGTATAGGTGTAGCCAGGCTGTAGCTATAGGTGCGATCACGCCAGACAGTCCGGGATCAATATTCCTATGAGAATGAAAAAGCGCATTGTGACTTCATCTATTCTGTTCTTCGGCTTTTAGCCGGTCCCAAAGGCGACTGTGTTACCTACAGATCGAGCTAGAAACGACCTCTGATATTATAGAACTCAGTTTCTCTGATCGCATTCATCACACTGAACCTTCACGTTTCAAGCGTCTATTATTGCATTTCATCTACGCTACGCTACGCTATGAGTCATTCACACAAATCAATTGGTATATATATCCTAATTGTATAATTCTGATTGTCTATATGCCGGCTGCGTCTATGAAAGAAGTAGATTTCTTACGCACATCTTCCCCTATACACAAATCGTTTATTTGCCCTGTTTTGGCAGGTCAAACAATGTTTGAAACCTACAAAAACAACAACAATAACAAATCGTGCGTACTTACTTTTACTACGGACTTCTCGTGCTTTTCTTTCGAACAAAAACAAAAAAATCCAGCAAAGCCATTAACATTTTTCCGGACGCCTCTTTCCCACTGATCGTATTCCACAATATAGGACAAACAATACATATATATATATATATATTCATTTCGGTAGGGGCAATTATTGCGCATCAAAGTAAATTACCTACGCATTTAGCATTTTTGCCATATGGCCATTTTATTGTTAGCAATTGTTTTAGTACCCAGACCCACGGTAGCTGTGATCGGGCGTCGTTATGTAAATAAATGACGCGAATTCATAAGCGGCCACTAACGTTTTATACGGCAGAGCAAAATAACAACATTGTGATATTTCTACATCTGACTTCAGCCAGCCCAGATTTTTGTCTCGAGCTGGGTCATGTCATTCGGGACCTTTTCGCTATTATTGCCTTCTTCATTCAAACTGATTTCAGCGAAACGCGACAGAGTCATGGGTTTGCATCGCCTGCCAGATAGAGTTGTATTAGCGAAATGTTTCGAGTGTCACCTCTCCCTGCATAGGTCCGAACTAAAATCCAGGTTACCTAAGACCTAGGTGCCATTAAGGCAAATATATATATATATATACGAACGGCAAGAAAGTACGACAGCATAAAGCTTCAGATATGCTACAGTAGAACAGTAGCATCAGCCAGAAAAGAACGAGTAGTTCGTGTGTTGATATATTGAAACGATAGCGTATGAAAAATTTTGTACGAAGTAAAAGGGTAGAAGAGTCTAATTTATTGTTACTGCTGTGTTGGTGTGCTATACGTATGATCTGTATTTTTATTTACATTATTCATCTGATCGGCTGATTGAAAGATTAACTTGCCCCTTCTTTTCGTAGTTGATAGTAGCCACGGTAGCGGTAACGGTCTGAGGAAGGTGCCCGGAACAAACAAAATGTAGTACAGAAACGAAAGTGAAATAAATACAAAAATTGTAATGTATCCTATCTATTGATCATTATTATGTTATTATACTAATGGTGTCGTCCTGAACATTTGTCCTATTCATATGGAACCGTTGCCATTGTTCGTTATTTAAACGTAATTGCGCCCATTTGAAATAGAGTGTTTCAGCACGTGCCCTAGGATCTGTTTATTCTTCCTGTCCGACAACTAAAGAGAGCTTACTTAACTACCGTAATGTTCCAGCTTCGATCTGGACCTGACTGAGCTACTATTAAGGGTCGACGCCCTCTTTACCCCCTCTAAAACGGTCAGAACGTACCTACCAAACGAGATAACGAAGAAAAACAATCGTCATTAGAACAGACGACGTGCGATTCGTTGATTGTGCGGGGCGGAACGTGGCGATATGGTGAAACCCGAAAACAACGAACGACTAAAAATAGCTTTCGAGCTTGAAGTCGATGGAAGCGGAGCTCACGCCAATCGATGACTGTTTACTAGCATCGGGTATTATTCTTATTGTAATGTTTTGTTGAATTTTCCACGTATGTAGGGGGGCGTGCTGGTATCGATCTAAGTTTATCAGGATCAGCGTAAAGGCAATTCGTCATTGAGGGTTAGTGGGTGAGAATCACGACGGTAAATGAGGACGGCGCTACGAGTTATGGCATTAGTAAATGTTTGTTCTAGTGAAAAGTGCATCGTATAGGGACTGTAGTAGGTAGAAAGAAGCTTGAACACTATATGGACCATGTTTAAATCAATAGTTGACCGCGCGGACTTTGCCAGTTGCAATGTATTTAAGCTTTTTATTTTCCAATGCTCCCAATCAATGTTGAGTCTCTCTGTTTTCTGTCTTCGATTCTGTTTCTGTCTTCTGATTTGTTTCTATCAGATATACTTTTGTTTCTTACTGCTGAATCGTACGCACGCATGAATGACAGTTTAGCTTTACGGGGTTCGTTTATAGCCAGCTTATAAATCGCAATGTATTCATTTATTTCATGTTGAATCATCTTCATATCTTTTTAATATTGTCGGTCTTGGCACACTTAAAACTTAACTCCGGTGCTGTGGTGTGGTCGTGTGACTTTCTCGGTGGTATATTGGCATAAGCTATTGTGGAAATTCCCGATTATGGGAACATGGTTATGCCGCTGGTGGCAGATTTGCTCGTCTTTAAGTCCAGGGATCATGTCAATCGATCTAGTCGCTTCGCGTCGTTTTTGCAGCTCTGACACGTTTTTAAGGTCGCCAAAGGCCAGTTTTTCTTCTTCGTCAACATCTTCTGAAAGGTACCTTCTTTTTCTGGGTAGCACTTCACAGACCGCGAGGACAAACTATCAACTAAAGCTATTGGTCCACAGTGAAAACGCTTTTTTTGTAGTTATTCGAAATCTATAGATCTTACGCATTGTTCATATCCTGTTTACGTAGGTTCTAATACGATGTTTTACATTCATGTCGCCACAAATGTAGACGTTGAGACCAGTCGAATTTTTAGGCGATGTTACCGCCTTGCACGGTCATTTTTGGCACTAAGCTATCATTTTATTATTAATTGCGTTTCTGCAAGTTAAAATTATTTGAAGAATATATACGGATCAGTGTTTTCACCCTGAATAATTTCTGCCATAAAACAATTTATTACCCCCCTCCCCTCCTTTCCCCCTCACTGTAATTGATGCAGGAACACCACTTTACGCTAACTATAGGCCGTATAAAAGTACACTCGTACTATTGCAAGCACACTGAGCGTATCTACCTAAAATCTAGCCGAGGAACCCATCCTTCAATTAATCACTGATTATGAGCAGTCGCAATCCCCGTAAACAGAAAAGCATGTGGATCCTGAACTGGTAAAGGAGACCCGAAAGCGTATATCTCTACTGTCTGTGTGTGACATATCCTCTAATGGTGATTCATCCGACCATCGATAGGCTGGAGCTACACCAGAATCGATGCCATTACCAGACCACGTTCTTCTTAATGGCAGTGGTCGTTGCAACAGCACAGCGAACTCGTTCTAATACTTTCGCTGTACAATAAATGAATGAATCGATCTCCCAGCTGACGCGTAGCTGTTCATCTTTGTGCTGCCGTAACTTTTTAGCCCCCGAACGAAAACTGTATCACCGTAGCGGGGAGTCTCGGTCGGCCAGAGGCAGGGAACAAGTTCGAATAAAATAAAATAGCTTTTTTTCTCTCTCTCTTTTTTAGCCTTCTCCGCCTCGCTACATCTTCTATTGAATTGGCTTTTCTATTGCGACTAACTCATTATCTTTAATTCATCGGCAATTCACAATCTCACTCGAGAGCTCTTGTTAGTGGCCCGATAAATTGTACCGTTCATATAATCCTGCCGTCCCTCGAAATATTGCTCTACGCAGAAGAGACATCGAGGCATCATACGAATCGAGTGTTTTTATGGCATAAAGATTCGTCGTAACGGCACACTATGGTGCTGAGTCGGGTGACAGGTAAATATGAGCTCCGGACAACAAGCGACTTCAGAATGATACCATCATGAAAAATTAACAACGCGGTGCTTCATTGATTAGCATCACATGTCTGGCGAATGGGAATGTAGTGACGTGCGTTGGCCATTGGGTCGTTCATTACTTATTTATTGATTCCTGATGCTAATGCTATAATTTTTTTAATGATGAAGATGGAATGATCTGTATTGTTTTGCTCGTGAATTATTAGGCACACATAAAAGGAAACACACGATATACTGTGTTGGTTTCTATACGCTAGGGACTGCGGCTGGTCCAGATGCTAAAGACTAAATTAAACCGTTTGAATTTCGCGCCTAAATCATCTCGTTCTTAAACATTGCGGGTGGTCGGCGAGCCCGGGAATACCCTCTGAGTTGTCTATTTAGCAGTTTGTTTTTCAGAGGTTCACAGCGAACGTACGTCAATAGATGGGTGTATTGTTATGATGCTTTGGATTCTCGTTGTAAAAAGTTACAAAACAACCTGTCCGAAAGCACATCGTACACATTCGTATACCGTTCGCCCAAACGATTACATTGTTTGACCTATTCCGTATGTTATAGCACCTAAACATATCTATGATTATATGAGTACCGTGTCTATATACGATGTGATTTTATCGAACGTACATTTTAAGTTATAATGACTGTTTTTTTTTTTTTTTTCGAAGCTGTTTATGCCATTCTTTGCTTATATAATCCGTACAGTTGTCACAGGGTTGCCCTTCATGTGTAAGAATTGTATACTGTTAACTGTTTCCTTAACATTTTTTTGTCGCTGTGGTTTCACGATGTACATGCAGTTTATACGCCTGTATAATCTAAGTACACGTGCGTGGCCAAGATCCGAATCAACAATTGTAAAATTGTGTTATAATGATAAGACCAGTTAGGTTATACATGTTGGTGAAGAAACGCGATTAACTTTTGACGACTAGCAGCACGTGATTCAGTGGAGGAAGCAGTCTTTCGCGGTGGTTGGCTCCCCAGTGAAGTGCTTGTTGCCCGACTTCTCTCACATGTACAATACAATGTTACCGGACCCAGATGACAGCCTCAATCGTACTAGTGTCCAGCTCTGGGAGCTCAGCTTATTACCTGAAATCGGTCCGTCCCTAATTAGGTGTAAAGGGCCTCCGAGTAGAGCAAAGGGCTTTATTATTGTGAAGATCGAACTTTAGACTTTTCGAGGAACGGAGATAAAGCGGATTGACTTCAAATAAAAATAGTCATATGATAACATATGTAGACATTCGGACCATTTCTGCAACGGTTGAATCAAAACAGCTTCGTCTTATTAGGACGGATGGGCAGGAATCGGCTAAGTTAAATGTTGAGGCTGCAGGACAAGTTCAGCCAGACAGGCAAACAGTCAACCAGGTTATTTACAATGTGAGGCCGTGCAGAGATGAACATCTCTTTGTATCTCCTTCTTGTGCGTTGCGGAGTCTTCCTTCGATTTTTAGATATTGTACTAAGGGTCGTTATCCGCTGTCGGGCTTTTCGATCTAGCAGCAGGCCGATTTTTCCAACATGTAACAACGTCTGCACGCGTCACGGGTATATCTCGTACTAAACTGTCCCTACTTGCTGGCCATTCTTTGCACGCACTTTACAGTTGGGACGCAAGCTTCTATTGTGTTCACTACCCATCGAACAGTAAGCTACTTTGATCTAATCATTAGGCTGCCACTAGTTCCAAGAAGAACTTGGGCGCACTTGTGGCAAGGCTGCTGGCCTATCGCTTATTGGAGAAAACACAGTTATAGGGAACCGGAATAAAGTGCCCACATACTCAACTCACTGGATTTTACCATTAGTAAAGTCTAAGAAATATACGACATTTCGCATGCTACGTGTACGAAATGCCGTAAGTTTAAAGATGAGAACGTTTAGGTCATGTTTATTCATGGGGCTAAGTTGTATAGCTAAGATATGATATGTACCATAAAATTGTGTTTACTCTAACGAAACCCTTGAGTTTCGGCCAGTCGTTAGCGTCCTAACTATAGCACAAACATAATATGACTATCTATGACATTTTATAGATGGTTGTCGCCAGTTAAATCTATAAGATTTGCTTCAACATACGCGAATCGGCATCGTCTCTCCTTTTTGCAGGTTGTGATCGCCTCAAAGATATGGTGCGTTAACTCTCGCAGGTCATTTTTGGCGACCGCTATTGTCTGTCTATGGTCTTCGTTCACACTACTCAGTAAAAGCACTCCATCAGGTGTTTGTTCAACAGCACGATCAACTCATTCACATGATTTGAGCCATTACCACATTGTACCATGCAACAAGCTCGCCCTCTATACTCCAACACTTTGTCTGCTTATACGTATTATATAGCTTACAGTGGAATCGGTCAAAGAACTCGTGCATTGACTATACATAGTACTTACATTTTGCGGCAGTGAGTAGTCCGATTCTAGTTTTGTAGTAGTCCCGTCGGCGTTCCGTACAGAATGTGATTATACCATTAATTAACAACAACAAGATTACGTTACTATAAAAAAACGACAGATATCCTGAGTAATCCTATCCAGAGCGGGGCTGTAGGCACATTTTAGTGGAACAGAGAAATATTTCTTTATCAAGTTGTTGACACCAACATTTATCGGAAGAGGCACGCAGATTGGCGCTGATCACAGATAAATATACATCATGAGGTATCTATATATAAAGAGATATATGGATATTTGCTTGACACTTGTAGCTTCCGCTGTATTTATTTGAAATGCGTTGCGACGATCACGGTCTCGCTGCACTACAGTGCCTCTGCGGCTTCGCACCCTAGCCGGTCGCTCCTAGCTCTACAGGTTGGTGGTCGCACGTTGACACATCCGGAGGGGTATTAAGGGGGGGGGGGAGGGGTCACGACTTCGAACAAAAGGAAGCCACGGACCAACCCGTTTTCTTCAATACTAGAGCCGTTATTGTAGATGTTGATGATTCACGGCAACATTAAGCAATTCTAGCCTAGGCATAACAGTTTCCAATTGACTGTAACAGAACTCACTGTATTTCAGTGGGTTAGCAAACCTAGAAGCGGAGTTTGCGTATCGCTCTTGAGAGCTGCTTCGTTTCCCTGTGGCTTTCTGGGACACAGACATACACATACAGACGCAAACCCTTGTGAAGACACGCACTCCGGCAGAGCCTAAGCTCATGGGGACAAAGTCCCCGAAATCCACAGGTGTAGCTAGGCAGCTCCGCAAAAGCGTGTTGGGTAGCTCGAGACAACACAATTTATCGAACTCATTGAACTTCTCTTGTTTGAAAAACAGTACTTCTATTGGCTGCTACTTCGCTGAGAGGCACAGCTTACTTTTACTTGATGCTTTATTTGCGACACTTCACGAACACTCACTGACGACACAAACTTCTGCTACCACGTAATCTGTAAGCTAGTATCCTAACCATAAGCGATCTTCTTTCTCCAGCTCATAAACTCCAATACGATACATACTAACGTTACTAAAACACTAGGAGGACAACGTGCACTGGATCCTCTAACCACTAATAACATCCTAAAGTGGAGTAAAACTACTGCGGCCTTTCCCGTAACAGGTATTTAGGCTGATGGCCTGTCGTTTTCTGCACCAAATCTCGTTTCTGAACCTTCAACGGGCTCACATTGTAGATCTTATAGATATTCTACAGTGTCACGACAATATTAAACAAGCGAGAAACGTAGACAGACGAAAATGACAAACATGAGAATTTTTGGGGATTTCGTAGATTAACAAAACCGTTGAACTTAGCGAGTTGTATAATCGCGATTACTGGTAGCAATGCGAACTTCCATCAACATCGCCCACGGTATATATATAAAACACAATTTAATGGTAGCGATGATTACGATTATAAACACAATTAATTTTAATTATTTTCCTTCTTCCTATTTTTCCTTTTCTTTCAGCAATTGCTTTCGCCTTTTCTTCCGTTCTAACTCACATCGAAGCGTGTCCACACTTTACTATAGGATTGCCATAGCGGCAGTTTGATTTGCTCTCCTCATCGGGATCGCTAAGGAAGCTGTATAGCTCGACTTCTTCAATACAGCTGCCGTACAAATGCCAGAGGGTGTTCCACCCCTCTATGCCAGCAACAGGGTATTCTGGTCTGACCGCTTTAACCAGGTTGTAGGCAACAATTCACCTGTCCAGAGAACATGTATTGGTGCGCGGATATAGTTGAATCATTCCTGTTTCTCTATAGTTGGGTGCGTGCTGTGCGTTTTGTGTTCCGGCGGCTTTTCGAGTGTCCCGAACAATCCGAATCCGACGGTGGTTCGCGCAGACTGGCCACCGGCTTCGTGGCCAATCGCGGTGAGGGGAGCGCAAGGACCGATTGTCGAGGTACCCCTGGCGCCGTCTGGTAGTCGCCGGGAGAAACCATCGGCGGCAGCAACGATGATCAGTAACGGATCGGGCGTGCTTGCGTGTGAGCTGGCGGGCAAGCGGGTGTGTCTGTCTGAATTCTGCGATTCTCTCCGCGAGCGAATCTGTGAATTTCTGGTTCTGTCTTGCGCACGCAAAGCGCGAGACAGAAATAGTCGTAGTGATAGGTACAGGTTACAACTAGACAGCAGTGCTAGGCGGGTTTAGATAAGCTTGG